CTGAAGAAATTCAGAGTTAAAAACTGGCAGCTGATAATACAAGGTTTGATACAATAGCACCAAACTAATTCGGTATCAATTAACCAGTTCTGTTGTGTACCATCTCATTCTTTTTAAAAAAATTATTTAGATTTTTAGGTTTACAAACAATCATAATCATAGACAGACAATTTCCATAAGTTCCCTTTGACTTCCCTCCTCCCCTTTTGTGGTTCCTCATGTTAACTTTTCCTCTTGCCTCTTCTCTGTTAATCCAATTCTATTAAATCTTCAATAAAACCATAGTCCAACTTTTAACAACAAGCGTCATTCTAATCCTAATAATAATTTTAATTGTTTACAATTATTTTTTAAGCAGCCTCACATTACTACACTGGACTGGCCATTTTCTTGCTCGTTTCTTGTGATCCAGTTAAACACCTCTTATAAAAGGATGATCATTGATTATCAGTTGATGGGACACAAGTGGGGAGAGAACAACCATACCTTGGAACTCGAACAGAATCCATTCAGGAAGTCCATTCGACTTCCAAAGTTTTCGAAAATCACATTGCAGCTTCTGATTGGCTGCAGGAAGCTCCTGCAGCCAAACAGAAGCCAAGGAAGCCCCATCAGACGTTTGGGTTCCAAAAGAACATTTGCAAACTGGAATAATTGCTTCCGGGTTTGCAGCGTTTGGGAGCTAGAATGTCCGAGTTCCAGGGCGTTCGGGATCCAAGGTATGACTGTACTGTTGTGTCCTGGTTGCAGGCTTCACATGGACATCTGGTTGGCAATTGTAAGAACAGAATGCTGGACTAGATAGGCCTTCAGCAGGGCACTTCTTAAGGTTATAATTCATGATTCATCATGATTCATGGATAAGTCTTATCAATGGCTACTAGCCATTATGGCTGTGTATTATCCATGGGGGAGCCCACAGGAGAAGGTCAACGGTTCACTTACATTACAATAAAGAATACATTTAGTAGGAAGCACACTCACATCCTGAGGTTTAGAGTGATCTCTGAGACCGCTCTTATTGAGGATGGATGCCACGCCAGGACAGCACTTTTCTGGAAAAGAGCTTTCCTGGACCAGCAGACAGCTCATCTCCATGCTGCTTGTTCTGATGGAGTGATGCTGCTTCTGTAAACGTTACAAGATTTGGAAACCCTAGAAATACAATGATAATACAAACAGAGGTGTTGTGGTACTCGGGTGGTGAGCTTGGGGTGTTCCTGGACCTGCTCCTGCTTTTTGAGAGGTAGGTGGAGACAGTGGCCAAAAACAGAAACGAAAAGTGCTGACATGGTTCTCAGGAAATGGGAAGCAAAAATTGCTTTCTTGGGAAACAGAAACTTACTTGCTACAGGATTGATCAATTGAAAGTAGAAAGGAAAAGTACAGTGTTTTCCTGTATTAGGTTGTTAGAGAAAGCAAAGAAGCAGAGCTGTTGTTTTTTCTTTAGCTATGGATATCTGCAACTACTTCAAGAAGCAGAAGATAGCTAGAAGGCCTCAGACACATACCCGAGGACCCGGGCACCAGAATTTTGGTTCATCTCAAGAGACCAGTGTGGGTGTCAGCCATAATGCAGTCTGGGACATATTCCACTTTGCCTTCCTCCTCCCTGCTCTGGCCCTCTTGTCTCCATTGAATGCTACATGACATGTATGCAAGCATCCTGGCTTTAATTGCAGCAGAACAGCAAGGCAAGATGGCATATTCAAACCTCAAAAAGGAGTCCCTGATACAGGCCTGTTGCTAAAGCGCACTGCCTGGCTAGAGGTTAATTTCTCCCCATTATGTATCATTCAAAGCAAGGCTAAGGGTAGATCAAGGGTTGTTTATCTAAAAATTGTTAAGTCAGCACAAGTCGTGCTGCACATCTTCCCTGGGGCAAGGAGAAGAGCCATAAAAATTTGGGACCCTACCATTTTCTCAGGTAAGCAAGGAAACATTCTCACCTTTCATTTGGATGTCATTAAAACCACTCCCTCACACTCCCACAAGTAGACACATCTGTGAGAGGTAAAAGCATATCCAGGAAATTTGTTTTTGAAATGTTAATTAGCCTTTTTGAGCTCCACCTGGTTCCTCTTTCTAGGTGCTCTCACAACGGCAGCTTTCATTGGACTGAAGGCTCCAAAGCTCTGAAGGAGGTCCTGGTGCCTCAGGTTTGGAGCATATCCCAGATGGATGAACCTTGCAGACATGAGGCATCCCACTCCTGCTTTTAATCAAGAGCTCCTCCACATCTTTTCATCCCCCGGCAGCTAGGCGTTTCCCAATCTGAGCCAAGAGAAGTATATCTTTACAACCCATTTCTGTCTCTGGGAATTTGTATGACACTTGGTTGTACTCCAAACCTTCCATTTTTCCTGTATGGAATTCTTAAATTCTTCCACTTAGAGTTATGAATGTGTTAGAGTGATAATCAAATGCACCTGCTTAGGCTGCTGTACATAAATTAGTCCTCAACTGCACTGTGATTTATATGCTTTCATATCCTTTTTTACTTTACAATAAACGGAAGTTTCCTTTTGAAAATGTTGCCTGGCTCTGCATTCTTGCTTGCACACCACACTTAGGCACATTCAGAACAGTGCCTATTTGCCTTTCAGCAAAAAGGAGGGAAAGTCACCCCTCTCTAAGAGGTGGGTGGAAAGGGACAGTTACAGGTAGGTAACTGTCGTGTTGGTCTGCCATAGTCAAAACAAAAAAAAAGGATTTTTTTATTTTGGAAAGGGACTGTACAACTTGAACAGGAAAACCTGGATATGGGGAACTACATAGAAAGCAGATTCTCTGCCAGATGTGTTAAAAGGGGGGCTGCTAACTGAATGCTGGACCCCTACAGAAAGGTATGCAGTCATGGATTTTGCCATGCATGGCTTTTGAAATATTCTCCCTGATTAGCATACTTAGATTTTTAAAAAGAACTTGTATGTCCTTTTTGCATTTTATTTCCCTAACCAGTAGTACAAGGGATACAGGGCACATGGATTACCAAATTTGTACCAAGTACAAAGACTACAATGAAACTGCAAGAGAGCACTCAAAATGGATGGTACAGTAGATCAGATGAAGATGCTTCTAACATCCTGTCATGAACAGGAAAAAGGTGCTAATTGCACAGCAGCTTATTGAGTTTTCTGCAAAAGCTTTTGAGGAAAATAAACAAGCTGTACAATATAATAACCATTGTGAGTCACCTAACCTCGGTCTTCATAATAAGACCAGTATATAAAGCAGTTGACATGATAGATCTCTTACAGCTTTGTGTTGAGACAGAGTATGAATTGTTTGGTGTTGGTTTTTTTTAATGGGAACTGGGTCAGGCAACTGTAACAACACAGAATGCATTAATAAAGTTGTGTAGCCAAATTATGAGGGAGATCCTGTAATGAAGGCTAACACATCTATGAGATTCTCTGTTTTAGCCAAGAAAACAGCATATATTTCTGGCATAGGGCAACTGTCTAATGGGGCAATTTCTTGGGGGACTCTCCACTGCAAACACAACAATAATTTTCACCAATCCAAATTACCATGCTTGTGAAATGCTCAAAATGCAAGATGATATCCTAGGATCATAACAAATCAAGAACTGAGGTGCCACCAGCAAAATACGCTTTGAGCCACCACACATCATGCACCCACGCATCCATGTGAGGGTCTTCTACAAGATGGCATTGGATCCCACCTGCCCACAGCCCCCTCCAAGTGCATGGCACGGTCAAGCACACTAATGCTCACCAGCAGCAGCCAAAACATGTATGGGGTGGGGGAATCAAGAACTGGGGGTCTCAATCACAGAACATGCTTTGGGCCACCACAAATCAGACACACAACTGGGAGGGTGTCATCTGCGATACAGCATTTGAATCCACCACTCATGGGTGCACCACAGTCAAGTGCATCTAGACACACCAACAATAGCCAAAAGTGGGGCAGGGCAAGGAACTGGGGAAATGGGAACTCAAAATATAGGTCTTGGCCAAAAGATGGATCCTATGATTCAACAGAAGAGGGCAGAGCTTGCATTTGATCTTAATTGGCAATGCTCGTGACATTAACTTGGAGGTGGATTGGTCCAACATGCATAGTCAAATCTTAGCTGAGTATATGGCCAGCTGGTTTTCCATAGCCGTTTTTGTTTCTTTTAAAAGCTGCTTGGCCAACACGCATCAGGTTACCATTTGGTGACAAACCATGAAACTACTGCACTATCGTAAGTCATTTCCCTTACATTTCCTCACATTTATCTCCCTCCAAAATGACCAGGTTCCAGTTCGAAAATGATACTGATATCACACCACCTTTACCAGCTGTGGGAGGAAGATAATTTATCAGTTGATGTGGGGAAGAAGCATCGTTTGCCAAATTCCTACTTGCTACGCAGTTGTCACGCAGAGGTGCCCTGTCAGAATTTTTACCCAATAGGAACAGTATGCGGAGTAATTCTTACGCCCTGTTTGATTCAGTGAAACGTGGAAAGGTTAAAGATGGGAGGGGGAAAGCCCTAGAAGCGGCAAATGCATACTCAAAATAATTTTGCTCGCCCCCACCCCCGATCTCTTAAAACAGACATATTACTTGCGCTCACAACCAAGGGCTGGGGAAATGGTAGCTCCTAGGATGTCTTTATTGCATGTTTATGGCTAGCAACCCGATCCTAAGCGTGTTTACTCAGAGCTCACGTCTACTTGGCTCAGAGGGATTTATGCTTGGGTTTAGGATCGCAGCCGGATCCGATTCTAATCCGGTTATGGGTGGGGTGGGCGTGCAAATCAATGGCCATATAGGAAACAACGATGGCGAATTATTCCAGATTAATGCACACACACACCATAGCTGTCAACGTTTGCCTTTTTTAAAGGCAAATTCCCTTATCCCGAATAGGATTCCTCGCAAGAAAAGGGAAAAGTTGACAGCTATGACACACACGCAACTACAGGAACAGATACTGCAAGTGCTGCGAAACGGCGCGTCGACCTCTCCTCCTGAATGTGGCGCCGACGGCCGTGGAGCAAGACGCCTAGCCAGGCAAGCTGCGAGCTTCCTCTCCCACCGCCTGCTCTTGCAGCCGAGGCGGCAGGCGCTGCTCCGTCTGAAGCAGCCCAGCCCAGGCAGGGGGAGGGATTGCACAAGCCCCGGAGCAGAAAATGGTCGGCCGAGGTTGGTGCGAGAGGCGAAGCTAGCCGGGGACGCCGCCGTGCCGAGAAGAAGGGGAAGCGCAGCAACGCCGGAGACCCTCTTTTTTTTCTTTTCTTTTTTTGGCCTTCGTCGTCATCCGGGCTGTTGTTTTCCCTGCTGTCGACCGATATTATTGCATGCATGCAGCGGATTTGAGCACCGGCCGCCGCAGCCGCCCGGGCAACATGCAGCTGTCTCCCTGCGGGGCGGAGGAAGCGGAGTGAGGAGGAGCCGCAGCGGCGGGGTTCTGCTTTCTTCTTCTTCATTTGCGTGCGTCTTTCTCCTCCTCCCGCCACCCCGCCTTGTTTGGGCTTTTTGCTCGCGGGAAAATGGAGCCTTTCCCCAGTAACGGTGAGTACGACAGCTCCTTCCTCCCCTCTGTCTGGCCTTTCGGCTCGCCAGCTGTAACCAGACTCCTCCTCGCCCCTCATGCTGTTGCTGCTGCTGGAGGAGAGCTCCGAGGGTGGCAGAAAGCACCCGGCCCCGAGGCGGCAACAAGAGAGAGGCCGTGCGCCCCGGCGGCTGTGCCGGGAAAGGGAGACTTGCTGCATCCCGCGCAAGGCCGCGCGCAGCCTGAAGGTCAGGGGGTCGCCTCCCCAAAAGGAAAGCGCCGGGGTGGAGGAGCCATGCGCGCGCGCCCACCCTCCGCCTCGCCTCCGCCCGCAACTTGAAGCTCTGAGCTAAGCGAGTTCGGACGACCCCCGAGGCTCCTGGAAAGGAAAGTTTGGCGGGAGGAAGCCGCCTCGTGGCCTGAAGCGAGGCGCTTCTGAGGCGCACCAGCGCCTCTGGGTTGGAAAAGTAGGAGCGCCCAGCTAGGCGACCCTTCCAGGGAGGAAGAGCTTTCAGTGGGGCTGGAGTGGCCTGTCCGTGTGGACAAGAGCCCTTCTTTGGAAGGGTACCTGCGAAGAGCTACAACCTTGGCCTTGGGGCAGCAGCCCCATCTTGAATGAGGCAAACGCTCCCCAACCTGTGGTAACTTGCTCTCTTGGTTTATTGACTTTTCCATTTCCAAAGCTCCTTCGAACTATGCGCTGGTTTGCTCAAATGTCCCCGCTGTGTCGGTTTTGTTTTCAGCCCAAAGGCTCAATGCTAGGATGGAAGATGGCGACAAACTTTAGACATGCTGACTGTTGTTCAGTAGGCCGACAAACTTGACTTTAGTGGGGCTTGTTGTGGGGAGGGGACACCTAGCGAACCACTTCAGTGTCTGGGACAAGAAGCATTGCCTTCTCTACCCATGAACTCTAAATCAGTGTTTCCCAACCGGTGTTCCGCGGCACACTAGTGTGCCGTGAGACACCGGCTGGTGTGCCGTGGGAGGGAGGCGGGCGAGTCGGGCGGCGAGAGGCGGGGCGGCGGCGGCGAGCACACGCGGGGCGGCGAGCGAGCGAGCTCCCACATCCCATCGCCGCTCGCTTCGGCCGGCCTACTGGAGGAAGGCGCGAAAACCCGGCGGGCTTTTGGGTGGGCGCCAAGCAAGAAAGGCGGGAAGGCTCTGGTCCCTCCCCTCCCGGCGGGGCTCCCGCACGCACCTTTCTGCGCCGCCGCGTCCCGCCTGAGCAGCAACAGGAGGAGGAGGAGGGAGGCCAGCGCCGGCCGGGTCCCCCGGGGGAGCGGGCGCTCCGGGCTGCTCACCATACCCCGCGTCTCGGGCGCAGCAGCCGGCAGTCCGAATGCATCCCGAGCCGCGCTGCTCTCGCCTTGCCTCCTTCTTCGCGCCTCCTCCCGGCTCGCGCGCCGTCCCTGCGCGGATCCGTCCAGCCTCCGGCCGCCGCCGCCGCCCCCTCCTCTTCCTCTCCTTCCCCCACCCACCAACCCGCACGGCGCGCTCCCACCGCCCCCGATGGGCGCAACCACTTCCGGGTCCGCTGCAGCCGCCCCTTCCCCGCCTCCGGCAGCCGAAAGTCCCCCAGCGGAGCCCGTCTGGCCGCTCCCCCCGCTCCCTGCCCACCTCCCGGTGTTGAGGCGCCCTCTTTCATTGCTTCGCGGGGAGGGAAAAAACTTTGACTTTTGTGCGTCCCTCCCGGCGTGACGCTGCGCGCTGACGTCACGGGGCGGGGCTTTAATGGTGGTGTGCCGCGAGATTTTTTTCCGGTAAACAGGTGTGCCGTTGCCCAAAAACGTTTGGGAAACACTGCTCTAAATAATTGACCATTATTTTTGTTTAATAAACTTGCATATCTCCTTTTTAAAAAGTTGTTGCTATTTAGAGAAAATCCACAAACCACATCTCGCCTAAACAAAAGGAGAACCAAGACTACTACTTGAGTTCTTAGTGCAAGGATTGTTAGCAGCTGTGTGTGTGTGTGTGTGTGGGGGGGTTATAGAAAGTTAAAACCTTTGAAGCCATTCAGTGTAACTGCAAAATTAATTGTTTGTTTTACTCCCATACTATTTACATGATGATTGCGGCAGTGAGTCTTGTGGCTCCCTTCAAGACTTAATAAACATGGTGTGAGGTTTCATAGACTAGTTTATTTCAGGAGATGAATGAAGTGTTGCCCTGTGTTACATGTGTGTATATATGCATATAGTTGAGGCGGGGGATTGTAAACTGAAGTCAGAAGATAATTGTGTTCTTACTTAGGAGGACAACATTTCATGCACCTAATGAAGTGAAATGTAGTCCATGAAATCTTATGGCATAAAACATTTGTTTGCCTGTAAGGTGTCATAAGATTCGCTCCTGTTTTTACCAACTGTGTTGTTTCTCACGTATAAGATTTCATTCCCTGCCAGAATTTAGCTGTAAAATGCAAGGGGTGCTCTCAAATCTCCAAACTACACGACAGTTTGGAGTGGCAAACATTATCTGGCACCATCAAATTGATGATGTCAAGGAAACTTGTTAGGCAGAATGCAAGAGTAACAGTTCACAGGTGTGAAAATGTCTTAAAGCCGTTTAAAATAGATAGAATGCTAAAATTATGGAATAATCTCTGTGATCTTTTCCTACATTTAAAAAAAGCTTTATGAAGCAGTAGCACACACATACAAAAAAACAAAAAACAAAAAAACAAACCAACAAAAAACCCAGAATCAATATTGGAACCTGGGAATTTCCCCCTATATAGAGGCCTTGTGTGTGGCTTTAGTCTGTAAAACTTTGTACTGCTTAAATTGAATTCATGCACGTTGCGCAAAACGCTCACAAGTTTATCACAAGAAATAAGAGATGCATGGGACAACATGTTACCTTCATAAAGGCATGATTCCAAATCCGGATTTGCCAGCATAACCAGAGGCAGATGTTGCAAATATGATGCCCTCTGGTTGGATTAAACTCCCATTAATCCTGACCTTTGGCCATGCTGGCTGGGACTGATGGGAGTTGTAGTCCAACAACAGCTGGAGGGCACAGCTTACTTTCTCTGATCTAGGGACAGGAGCATTTGAAGTGTGGGAAGGACTAATGACCTTCCAGGTGTGGGAAGGACTAATGATACATCCCACCCACCAACCCCACCTCCCCTTAAGTGACTCCAAGGCTGTTTGTTTCTCACTAACTGGGCAAGGCTTTTGGTTTTAAAAACTTGCTGTGGCAGGAAGTGAGAGAGTGGAACTTGCTTAAAGGGGCTGGGGGCCATTTGCAGGCGAGAGAGGTGGATGGATTAAAAGTAAACCCTTTTCCCCACCTACCAAATGGTTTCCTGCCTTTGATTAGTGTTTTGAGAAAGTATAGTGAGTAACTATTATTATTATTATTGTTGTTGTTATTTATTACATTTCTATAGGATCCTTCATCTAAGGTTCACAGGGCAGTTTACAATATAAAAACAGATAGATAGATAGATGATAGATAGATAGAACGGACAGTACTCCTTTGCTTTGGTATAGTTCTTAGTTGCCTGTACATAAGAATGTTCCTCAAGCATTCGCCTGAGACATGTCAAGGTTTCATTTATGGAGCATGTTATTGCATTTTTAACCACTGGCACCTGCAGCAGGTCCTTTTCCTGAGACTGGAGATACTATAGTAAGACCATACAAATGTCCTCCAAAGTGTCCTAAAACCCTTTTCCTTAAATGATATAGATTAGGAAGAAATGGGCTACTGGGCCAATGCCACTTTGGTTCAATTCACATGGTCTCTTATCCTGGGATATTTTATCTTGCGTCTTATTAACCCCCTCCGTTGGATGGCTGCTGCTTCTTCTTCTTCTTCTTCTTCTTCTTCTTCTTCTTCTTCTTCTTCTTCTTCTTCATTTTGTTGCATTTATATATAGCTTTTCTGACGAGGCACCCAAGGCAGTTTACAATTTTAAATGACTAAAACACAGGGTCCCAACTCTATGATTTTTTAAAAATGATATAACATTTGTTTGGTAGAGGGAAGGAGACGGGTTCTGATGTTGCCTGTGCCTTCCTGCTCCCTCATCTTTCTTCCTCCTAACAGTGCAGGTGGTGTCTTTCGGCCCTGTAGGCCTTGTGAGTCATGATTGTGTTTTAAAGAATTCATATGTTATAGCAAGTGTCATTCAGAGTCTATTGGCATTTAAATTCTTTGCTTGCTTCTAAGCCACAGCACTTGAATAGGGAAAGGAGACACATAATCTGATCTGCCAAAGCTTACTCTTGTTCTGGCAGAACAGGAAATATAAGTATTTCTGTTTCAGAGGGTAATCACATATTATGTTTGGGTTTTTTTCTTACTCAGTTACATCTGTGTTGTATACATTTCTGCTATTTCTCCCCGTTAAAACTTAAAAAAACACACCACATCTCAGTGCTCTTCCATCTGGGCTCTATTCAAACCTCTTCCATTGTTTAAAACCACCATGTTCCTTTCAGTGTCTTTTCATCTTTGCTTTACTCAAACTTCTCCCCCCCTTTTTTTAAACCACCACTTTCCCTATCTCAGTGGGGAAGTGCTCTCTCTCTCTCTTTCACACCCCCACCCCTTTCTTATCCCCCACAAATGCCTTCCATTAACCTTCCAATGCCCCCACAAGTCATTTACTGTACTACAGACATGAGTTTCCTCCTTTTTCTTCCTGCTTCTTCCTCCTTCCCCTGCCTATAGAATCATAGAAACAGACGGAAGACAAAGTAGTGTAAATGCAGTATAGACAGAAAAATCATTATCAGTGAGATGCAAATGTATTCTGGTCTCTAGTCAAGATTTATCTTCGTCTCAGTACTGCCTTGTTATGTTGACTGAATCTCAGGGGCCTGAGGAGAAACCTCTAGTTTCTGGCTGACTCATAAAACCATTTAAATACATGATTTCCTTATAACTTTTTTGTAAACGTGCATTGTGTTTGCTAGCACCCAATCAGTCACAGAAATGGATGAAATTATTTGTTAGTAAGCTATTACTTGACACCAGTAGTATCACCATACAAAACTGA